TTCCCAGGAGAGCTGCTCTGACAGCGGGCTGGGAGACCCGGAGCCTAGCAGCATGGCCAGCACCACCCAGCCTATTCCCCTCAGCTTCCCTCAGGAGGAGTACTACGAGCAAACATCACCTAATAGCCGCACGGAAGGAGATGGAAACTCAGATCCAGAATCCAGTGAGTGCTGAATTTTGTTATGTTTAGTCAGCAGCTTGTGATTCATTTTTTATAATTTTTTTTGTTGATATTTTTGAGATAGTCTCTCCACAACGTAATTTTCAAGCGGCCATCTGTGTGTTTAGACAGAATTATTTACCGAGATGACAGCTATGATTGTCATAGTGCAGTAACAGCACAGCTTTGCAAACACAACAAGAGACCAAATAACTAGTAACAAGCTAGTTAAACATTAAATTCAGTTTGCTATATAATATCCCATGTTTTTTTAAGGTCATTCTTTAGACAAGTAGGACAACATCTTTGCTGCACAAAGGATGGTTGCAATGCTCAAGGGAAATAGATGCTTGTTCCATGTACTCTACTTTTTGTGTTAAGATTAAACCAAAAACCTCTCAGTTATAATATTTTGGTTTTGACCAAAACAGTGAATGGGACTGCGGAGTATGACATCCACATTGGTGTATTTATTTTGGGCAATTAATTTGGTAAACCATGAATGAACTCGTGAATGCTGGCCAGTGCTAAGCTGCGCAATGTAAAGGGAATTATACCTCTGAAGTTAGAACTCTGCTGCTGAATATATTCATATGATTCACAAGACAGCTGTCACTGCATGGCTTACTGCCCAACGATGTTCTCCATAAAAAGCCCCATTGAATGCAGGGATGCACAATTCGTTCCTCATACATATACAACAGATTTTTAAAATATCATTCTTCAAATAGCGGGCTGAGGAGAAAAAGAAGGGTGCTTAAGACAACACTGAGGGCTCTGGATTTTTTTTCCATCAGTGAAAGAGTAGAACCAAACCCTGTGCACCAGCAGCATTCCAATGACGCCACTGGAATGATTTTTGCTCCACCTTAACATGAACAAGGCTATTCTGAGTCCCCTATCAATGTGTCGTTGTGACATTACCCCCACCCAACACACATACACACACACACTTCAAGCTGGAGATTCTAGTTCTGGTGAATCAGATTTTATTTTCTGGAGGCAGCCCTGCACCATATATTGCCTGCTGGATCAAGGCTCAGATTGGAGCAGACCTTCACTTCTCCTGTAGCCCATGTGTATTATTCCCATTTTTTAAATTTTTCATTCCCTTTTTTAATCCAGCCAAAGAAAATCTACAGGACGAGAGGGAATTGATTCCTTTGCATACACCGACATGCAGTATACATAGTGTCATGGCTATAAGTGAGACACGAGTCTTTGGTCTCTTCTCCAGCGGCTGCACTGACAGTGTGACTGTAAATTTGTTAGACATCAGACAAGAAGGGTGACATCAGTGGCTTCCTGTTTATTTACATGTTAAAGTCCATCTCATTAGGGTTTGTTTTATGAGAAGATGTTGAAACTTTTTTTTAAAACATTGCCTTTTTTAGACAAATAGCTGACCTACATAGTCCCTCACATGCACACAACAACATGTCTGTACACATGCAGGCATGTGTATAAACCCACACACACACACACACATACAACTAATGATCACACCATTTCTCTCCCCAGCTGTATGTGATTCATTCATATGCAGAGGCAATTGCTCATCATATCATTAATATTCAGTGACATAAACATCTCATACTTCATAAACCTACTCAAATACTGCACTTATTACCCACTTTCCCTCTGGGGTAATATTTGTTGAAGTGCATTAGTTTTGGATAGAAGACCATGCTATGTAGTAAATGTATGTGTAAATTGCTGCATTAAAAATCACAGCAGCATGAGCCTTAACAAAAAACTGAAGGTATAATATTATAGTACTTGGATTTTAGAACAGAAATGTTAGTTATTTCACCACAAAGCCTTCTGTTGTTGGTTTTGTTGTAACCTTGTCATACCAAATTGTATTAAAATTGATTCTAACATATGTTAGTGAGCTAACGCAAGCAGGACCTGATCATACAAGTGTTGTGTGAACAGCATATGAAAGGTTTTTTGAGTAATTTTATACAGAAAACATTATTAATTATATGCAGAACTTTGCAGTATCTTGCATTTCCAGGCTTCAGTAAAGTACAGGTAATTCATATCATATATTTGTATAATTGTAATAAATATAGTGACAAAGGTTCTGTTATCTGATTTTAAATACTGCTAATTTAACACCCACTTCCACACACAGAGTGAAAATCATCTGACTCATCCAGCTTCATTTTCTCCTTCCAGAAGTTACGTCAGATAAACTCTGACTCTGTGCTACTCAGTTCAGAAGAGAGAGATGGGATCCTGTGCATGTTGACTGTCTCAGAGATGAGTGCATTGGTGACAGAAGAGGGTCTAAGATGGATTAGATATGGTTTTATCAATGAGCACCAGGCTGGCATGGCCGTGGCAATCTCTTATCATGTTGTCTCAATTTGTAAAGCAGAAAGAACAAGCAGAAGTGGAAAGAGGGTAGAGGAGATGGAATGACTCCAAGTGAGGAGGGAGAAATAGAACTGAGAAATTGGAAGAGAGAATTTCAGGAGTCAAAAGCAGTGTTGTTTCTTAAAGGTGCTTCAGCGAAGACTTGAATGTCAACTTGCACTGAATAATTGCCAGTGCCAAAGGCAAGCCATGTGGCCTTCTTATGACAATGAATTTCTCAGCTCCTCTTTAAACCTGCATCTTTATTAGACCACCCACTCTTGAAATAAAGTTCATATGACATTTTATGTTTCTATTATTTATGAGTTAGGCGGCTGTTCATTTTATGGGCTCTTGGTTCTCCCTCCAGGCTTACTCCACCACCCCACCATCAGTTTTATGCTGTCGCCTGTTTTGTCACACATTGTTCCAAAGGTTTTGCTATTTTCCTCCTCTGTCTCGACAAATAAATAAAAGCTGAAAATTAATATCATTAGCATGTGTGTTTTCAGGTCCAAACCCCAGAACATCTGACAGCTGGCTTTTACAGAACTGCACATCCGGAACAATTAGGCATGATGAATTGTACCTGTCCCTTTTGGCCAAATTACAACACTCCATCAAAACATCAAAAACAGAAATGCATAATGATATATGACGCATCCCTCCCTCAAATAAGAAGGATGTACATTGCGGTTTCAGTTGACATTCTCTCATATAGAGACGACTCAGATTTCAGCACATTATTACTGAGGTTTATCTTCTACTATCAGAAGTCACTTTTCCTGGAATGCTGCTGTTTCACATGGAATACTGAAAGCATCCAGTTGATTAAAATGTCTTTCTTGACCCATCTTGGCTCAGACATTGTCCCTTGTTTGCATTGTGTCTTTAATTATAACAACCACTGGACTTGTTCTTGATGTTACTATACTTGTGATCAGTTCAGCTTTGTTTATGTTTAATAATTAAATCTAGTGTTTTTATTTTAATGCATTTATTAATTTTAGGCAGCTCATAATGTTGGATTAATGATATCCTGAAAGCATTTTTACTGAAAGATGGGAGTTCATCACGTTACGAACAGCAAACAATGCTAAGCCCCCAGACAAAGTGCAGCAAAGTGGGAGCAAATCCCTGAGTCTAAACCCTTCACATTTTTCAAACAATACACAATTTTGTTCTCTGGACGATTTGTAATATACTTATTTCGTTCGCCTGTTGTTGGAGTTGAGGGATTTAGGAGCTTGTGCTTTTGCCTACTTACAGACAGCTCACTAAAGGCAGTTTTGAAGTAGTGCATTAGTCTCTGGATGAAACATGAAAAACCTGCAGAGCATAGTGCTGTGTCTTAATCTGTGGCATATGGCTTTCAAATGACCAGCTTACACCTTGTCTGTCTAAGATCTAAATCTGCTATTAAAATAAGCCAATCCTTTTTAAACACCGCAGGCATAATAACATTACAGTTTTAAACACACTGCACAATGTATTAGAAAACTAAAGATGTTACAAAATGAAACGGCTTCATCAAACAGCAGATTTCTATCAGTTATTTTGTTTTCCATTTAAATTATTTTTCACTTTGTGCAGTTTTGTGTCTAAAGCTTTTATGGGGCATAATTCCTGATGCCAGACAAATAATCTGATTAAGGGCTTGCTGGTTCTTTCTTTGCGGGGGTTGTGTTGTCAACTCACTGATTTCTGAAGGTCCAAATTTTTCATAATAGCTTTGGGACTGAGTTTCCAGTTGGTTGATTTAAAACTGCTCTTTTTCTCAACCACTTGACTTGTTCTAAGGTGCCACATGGATTTTAATACTTCTCAGCCCTCAAACCATACCCTGAATCACGTGTGGCCAGTGGCAAACGTGCACTAAGACTGGAGTTCAACTGTCTGGACACAATTCTGCCTATGAATAAAGGCTTTTTGTGAGTAAGCATCAAAGAAAAAAAGATCAGTGTGATTGAAACTCTAGAGTTAAGTGGGCACAGCCTCAACTGTAAATCAACACTTTGCCGTTCATAGCAAAACTTGAGCATATCATTATGTGACAGAGGTAACGCCATAGTGTTCAGTACAGTTAGCCACGTTAATTATTCATATGAGTCGAATCTCAGTTTCACTTTGAGGGTTCTCATATGCAATTAGAAGTAATGAATGTGCCTCTTAATTACATTCATTTGTGCAAATTTCCATTCCCCATTGGATTTTTCTGTGGAAACATTGTGACACTGACCAATGGCATATCATTTGCAATGTGACTAAATCCATTCAGCATAGAACAATTAGCTGTAATTAGTGTTACAATGTCATCAGCGACCGGGAGAAAGAATAAGCTGACATGCAAGGGAGAAGAGGACCCTTGTTCACAGAGTTGAAAGTCCAACATACTTAGCAAGATCCAGATAATTGCCTGACCACAGGTTAGAAAGATGTTGAACTGTTGTAAGACTGTTAGTTTGGATTCTTTTCTGTCAACTTTTGTTCATGTAAAGTTGGCTGAACAGGAATTCTCTTTGATATTAAAGCCCTTATGCACATTTGTTCTATTAGGAGCTGCCGGTGCAACCTTTTACTTCTGCAAGCCCATCTTGTCATCTACTGCTGACAAATGAGCAGCTTCTCTGAAGTAATTA